CTTCTGACCATGTCCATCTCTTTATGACCACAGTGTACCGTCTTCTGACCATGTCCATCTCTTTATGACCACAGTGTACCATCTTCTGACCATGTCAATCCCTTTATGACCATAGTGTACCATCTTCTGACCATGTCAATCCCTTTATGACCATAGTGTACCATCTTCTGACCATGTCAATCCCTTTATGACCACAGTGTACCAAAATGGAAAATGGGGGTCATAGGAGTAACTAGATGACTGAAGGCACTGTGATGTAATTTCTTTTACATTATAATTACCATTAATAATGTATGTTTTCATTAAGTACAAGAGACTGTACAGTTTTACCCTTATAAAAAATCTAATGAAATAATCAAAAAAATTATAAAAAAACAACAACCGTTTAATCAAAAGGGCATTTGTGGACAAGGATCAAAAAGGGGCAGGTGGTCTATAGAGTTGACCTGACCAGTAACCTGACAGTTAACCAGTTTCCTGACGTCAGATCTGAAACTTGTTTCTGTTCTGGCTGAGTCAGTAAACCTGTTGGTAAACAGCTTGTTAATCTTGTCCTTGCTCTCTAATAGGTTTCTAAAGCAGCTCCTGGAATCAGTAACAGACATTATGAGACTTTAAGACATTAGAAGGAAACACCCACTTTAACTCATCTGACCTGAGCCTGCAGGTTAACACTGCAGGAAACATCAGCTGGGTCACTGTGGAACCAGGATTAAGAAAAACAGTACTTATTCATTTACCTTTAAAAAACAATAAAATGTAATATTTTTGCTTCTTTTGCCTCTCCAGTGTTAACATCCTTTATTTCAGTCTGAGTTAAACGAACTCCAGACTCAACACTTTTGTCTTCTGATTTCACATTAAAAAAAAAACCCTCTGTGGGGAATTTTGAAAATCGACATTAAAATTAATCAGATGTTATTTTTTAATGTTTAAAATAGTAACAAAGTACAGAAATGGTTTCATGCAAACAAACACCAGTGTGTTAAAATAAAAAACCTCCTCAATCAAACAGTTTGGACACAATGGTTGATGAATAAACATTTTGTTATTGATCCATATTTGCAGATTGAAACATCTAACAGGTAAAACATATTTAAACATCTTCATTTCTGCAGTTTGCCTTCATTAAACAACTAAACTCTAAAAGAAGAAGCTGCAGCAGCGTCCCCTCAGGAGACAACAGGGTTCATGGGGGTATACCTTTATGGGGGGGTGAAGGGTCTGATGGTCTAGGGGGTCCTGTCCTACCTGAATAGTTCAGTTGGGGTCCAGCAGCATCTTACAGAGACGTCCTGCAGAGATCTGAGCTTTGTGGCAGGATTACTGCGCTAACAGGATTAGAGAGGAGCTAAAGGACA